TGCCCTGAGCCCCCGCCGCACCCTGCACCCCAACCCACTGCTCTGAGCCCCCTGCCGCACCCCACACCCCTCCTGCACCCCAACCCCCTGCCGTACCCTGCACCCCTCCTGCACCCTGACCCCTTGTCCTGAGCCCCCTCGCCACACCCTGCACCCCAACCCCTGCCCTTAACCCCCTGCCACACCCTGCACTCCTCTTGCACCCCAACCCACTGCCCTGAGCCCCCTGCCACACTCCACACTCCTCTTGCATCCCAACTCCCTGCCCTGAGCCCCCACCATACCCTGCACCCCTCTTGCACCCTCTGGGGGCAGGGAGAGTGCAGAGCTGGGGTGGGGATTTCAGGGAAGGGGTTGGAATGGGGGCAGGGAAGGGGTGGGAAGAGGTGGGGCAGGGGCGGGGCCTCATGGAAGGGGTGGAGTGGTGGGGGGGGGGTGGAAGGTGTCGGTAATGCGGCCCTCGGGCCAATGTACTAGTCCCCAGGTGGCCCTCATAGTCATTTGAGTTTGAGTCCCCTGTTTTAGAGGGATGTAAAATTGAGTTTTTCACCCCCTCAAGTACCATAGCTATGTTGACCTAAATTCCAAGCCAAGACAAGCCCTTGTAATTTATTTAGATTACTGGACAGGAATAAGCTATATTGGTATAAGCACTTTTATGCTGGTGTAGCTACATTTATTTTTGATACGTCAACCCTACCAGTCTAGTCGAGAAGTTTAGTTCAAGTGACAAAGCTTTTAAGTGTTGACAAGCTCTTGGGGTTTCCAGGATCAGGTCCTTAAAGCTAGACAGACCTGACCCCCTGTTCATGTGCTCTCACATAGGAATTCACTTCTTGGCATTACAGAGCTGAATTTTTAGGAAGTTATCCAGGCTCTATTAATATCCGCCAGCTAACTTCTTTCCATGACTGGTGGGGGGGGGAAGAGGAAGATGTCAGGAATATTCATTCCAGCTGCAGTTCATGCCAGGGGAACAAGCTGATTAATATGCGAAGGTGTTCACAACACTGACAACACCGTCCCTGCTGCTCTAGTCCCTTCAATAGAGTTATTCGAATTATGAATTTGGCCCAGGCTGCCCAGCAGCTATAGGGTCTGGCTAAAGCTGCTGGTGTGTTGCTGTGATTTTCCAAAGAGCTAATCAGGGAGGAAGTGAAATCCAAAAAAGATAGGCGAGGAGAGACTCCTCTCCCGATGAGCAAGAGTGAAGCCAATTTAGGATGTAGAACAGGGGTAGTCAATTATTTTTTTGTCAGGGCCCTAATTGCATGGCCAAGGTATAGTGAAGGTCTAGACTCCAGATAAAAGAATAATAAAAAACCCAATAATAATGATAAGTAAATAAAGAGATTGTGGGGTCCTTTCAAAAGCATCTGGCAGTCTGGATTTGGCCCATGATCTGCCTATTTACTACCCCTGCTGTAGGCCTTTCCCCCTAGTAAGGAGGCAGTAAGCATTAGAGGAGGGGACATTTGCCTTTGCTACCTGCAACTAACAGAGGCAGAAACAACAAGGAGTCTGGTGGCACCTTAAAGACTAACAGATTTATTTGGGCATAAGCTTTCGTGGGTAAAAACCTCACTTCTTCAAATGCATAGAGTGAAAGTTACAGATGCAGGCATTATATACTGAGGCAGCTAATTGCCAATTAACTCACCATCCCTTGGTTCCTGGGCTGAGCCGGAGAGAGCAGAGGGTGGAGAGAGAGAGATTACTGGCCTGGGGGCTGGGAAGGCGGCTGTTTGCCAGGCTCCAGCCCTAAAGGTGGTGATGGGTTAAAGAACTGTGTGTGCTGCTGCTGCAGCCGTGTGTTAGGCATTGTTTCTGGCAAGCGGGACTTGGTCCTGGGAGAGAGATGGGGCCGCAGCAGCTGAGAGCGAGCAGGGGTGTAGGAGCTGCGATAGCAGCAATTGGGAAGCTGAGTGGTTGAAGAGGAGGGGAAAGGGACCGTCGGGGAGGTGGATCCTCCTTTCAGAAGCCGCCTCTCTCCTTCTGCGCTTAGCCCTCCGCTCCCCGCAGGGAGTGGCCGCCTCGGGAGGGGCCCCGTGGGACAGCAGCGGTGGAAGTGGCTGAAGGTAGGTTCTCCCTTCCCGCCTAGCTGGGGGGGCAGCTAAGGGGCACTAGGGGGCTGCCGGTGCGACATTGAGGCTGAAGGAAGGTCAGGGGGTGGGGGAGAAAAAACGACACCACCCCCCGCGCCACCTTTTTCCCCCCTCCTGCGGGCTCTCCTCTCTGCGCCGCTGGGGCTGGGCGAAGGGGGCGCGAGTGGAGGGACCCGTCCCCGCGCGCCCCTGCCCGGAGAGGGGAGAACTCAAAGGCTGGGAACTTGACCTGAGACGGGAAGCGGCACAGCTCCGGGACTACGTTCCCGGGGGATCGCCTGCTCCTGGGGGGTTGGCTGAAGTTCTCTTTCCCGATCATGGGGTCTGCGATTTCCCCCCAGCTCCATTAGGAAGGTGAAGGGCAATGGGGGTGTTTCTAGCCTCCTGTGTAGCCCCTGGGGGGGTGGGGGAAGGAGCTGGAGAAGGGGATGTGCCCTTGCATCTCTGCATCATGAAATAGATCACACTGGTGCAGTACGAGTTCCACTCTTGCTTTGGCTTCAGGGGTAATTAACGGGGGAGAAGGCACCCCATCATCCACAAGATGGGCACCACCAAGACTCAGGTATGTCTTGCGAGAGAGAGACGCACAGAAATGGCAAACTTAAGGCAGTGTCGCTGGGTTTTGTAAGGAAAACAGCATTCAACGCACAGATCACTGTGGCAAAATAGTGTTTCCAATACAGCTGTGTGAAGTGTTGCTTTATGAGAATTTGGGTCCATTGTCTTCAACATCTGGAACGCACTTGAATTTTGGAGCAACAGATGGAAATTTCCATACTGTGTCTGGGCGTGTGTTGGGGGCGGGAGGACAGGGAAGGAAGGGATGGGCAGAGGAGTGTGCACCTAAGGGGCATGGAAGAGATGTAGGTTTTCAGTGATTAGCCCGTGAGCCCACTGTACTTGCAATACTATTCAGGTGACTACATATGGACACTTGAATGTAATTTTTCTGAGTGGGGTGTATAGGAAGGAATGAGAAGGACTTGATGAAAGAACTGGTAACATTCTTGTATTTAATCATGAAGATGGGCAGAAACCACAAAATTAGATCCAGATCTTGAACACCCATAGCCCGGCGGGAATTTGAATCCAAAGTTTTGGTTTGTGCCTGTCCCAGTTAATATTAGACTAATTTTGTATAGCAGCCAGCTCAGACTCTTAAAAATGTGTTTTCCCCCCAACAAGCTGTATTATTAATAAAAACATTTTCCTATCCCTGGGCTTGAAAGACATCCGCTGTTTCTAGACAGTTCTTTTTTTTTTTTTTTTTTTAACGGACTTGCCTAGTGAAAGCAAATCCTTTAATTTCACAAATGTTAGTAATATACTCCTGCCACTGTATCTACTATTTGGTGCTCAGACACTAACATGGACATAATCAATAAGCAGACTAGGCCAATCTGTGGCTGGACTGACTTCATACTCCTACTGTGCATTATGGGAACCTTCTGGTCTGTAGGCAGCAGGTCTACCAGGCGAGTCAAAAGGAAGCCTTCCCTGGTATAGACAGTAAACGCCGTGTAACTCCTTGGTTGGAAGCTTCTCTTTGTCTGTCTGTCTGTGTTACATTCTAAGAAGCTCTATAAGGGTAGGGTCTGATTCTGCAAATCCATACACGTGCATCCTCCCATAGAGGTAATAAGGACCACTTGGATAAGGGTTTGCAAGATTGAGCCTGTAAGGTGAGAATCACCCCACTGCAGAAAGCCAGCATCACTGCTTATGCACCGTATTTTGAGCAAAAGGCTGGTATTTCCTGGGAACTTAAAGGAGATAGGTGGAAGAATCTCACTGAGTTTGAGTGGGAGTTGGGTGCTTAAATTCCTTAAACTCCTTTGGTAATCTCAACCCTAAGTGGTGTATTGGCTTTGTGGAGGCTCTGTGCACAGGTGTGAATTATACCCCAGAGAGTTAGCTTTTTCACTACAGAGAGACGCTTTCCTTTTCCTTTGTTTTGTTGTTTCCGTGAGCTGGTTCTGTTTTACATTTTATCACATAGTGAGTGAACTCATTGTGCCTGTCAATATGGAACCTTCACATATTTGGCTTTGATTGTAGTTTTGTCTGCATTTGGAAGAGCCTATGATGCAAATAGGTTGTTTAGTCCATTGAGGTTATTTGGCATACATGCTTTAAAATAACATGAAATAAGCTCAGTATTGGTGGTGAAATTCTGGTCCTTTGGAAGACAGTAGCAAAACTTCCATTGACTTCAGTGGGACAGGGTGTACAAACACCTCAAAATGTGCAGGTGCGTGGAATGTTCTATTGGTACAATGGTACATCCACGGTTAAGGAATCTTGAACTGGTCTGTCTAGATATAGGCAAAATTCTGAAGGGTTCATCTGCTTTGTGTGAAACTTGTAGATAATACAGTGAAATAATTATTGTTACCAAATAATTATAAGTTACCAAAGGAACTGAAATGTGAAGATGTGTGTTCTCTGTTATGAATCCTGATGGTCTAAACAGGGCACAGCAAACTCCTTTCATTTTATCTAAAGAGAAAGAGCAGGCACAAAGTTAGGCCCTGATCCCCCAACCCTTCCTCAGATAGAATTATTGCTGTGAGTGAGGGTTTGCAAGATGGGCCCTTAATACCTGCTCTTGCGAGGTGCAATACGCCATCAACTCGCACTGAACTGAGGATGCACAAAAGTGAACTGGGTCAGGGCTTTAGTCCCCCTTAGCCCTACTGAGTAGGTAGAAGAGTTAACAGATGTTTGGAACTGATTAACATCTTCACTGGGCACAAGAGATTGTGCTGATGTGGCTGGATTGAGCAATGCTTATTACTGTTTAATTTTTTTAATTCAGGTTTACCGTTCAAAGATACACATGGGCAGTAGTGCCTATCTGATTCCTGTAAGCAATAGGTGCACAAAAAAGCAATGACAGTAAGACCGGACAGCCTGAAGTCATAAAAATCAAGCCAAAAGTAAGAGTGTATTTAAGAAATTTTCATAGTGGAAGCAAACGCTGTGGTGGTCATCATTTGTATTACAGCAGTGCCTGTAGGCCTTCACCGAGGTCAGGGTCTAATTGTGTTGGGCATCTCACTCCTAATAAGAGACAGTCCCTGTTCTGATCAGCTTGCAAACTAAATAGAAAAGCCACACACAAGATGGGAGAAGGGGATTTATTATCATCCCCATTTTACAGAGGCATACAGAGACTGACTTCCTCTGTATCACAAAGGAAGTGTGTTAAAGCAAAGAATTGAAATTAATCTCCTGTCACAACCCAGTTCATTAAGCCACAAGTATGGTTTCCTCTTGACATGCACAGATGTCCACAAAGGGTACATCTACACCGCAGCTGGGAGATGTACACTTCCTCATTCTGCTCAAGCTAGCAGGCCGAAATAGCAGTGGCTGCACTGGCTCAGGCTAGCCTTCCAAGTACGTACTTCGGATTTTGGCCGGAGTTGTATCTGAGCAGCTAGTCTGAGTCACCACACATACCACACTGCTGGTTTTAGCATGCTAGCTCGAGCACAGCTAATGCACATATGCCTACCCAAGTGCACTGTGTACACCTCCCAGCTGCACTGTAGACGTAAGTGAAGTGTAGTTTGTTGGACTGCAAGTTCTACGAAGTTCTTGTTCTTGGAATGTACCTCTACACAGCCCGCAGGAGAGAGACTCAGGCTAGTGGTCTAAAACAGCTGTGTAGACACTGAGGTTTTGACTAGGACCCAGGGCTGGATTTCCAGTTAGGCACAGTAGGCATGTGCCTAGGGGCGCTAACTTTTAGGCAGCCCTAGAATTCCAAGAGGGCTCCTGGCAGGGGTTGGTGGCTACCCAATGTACGGGGGGTGGAGCAGGATGAGCATCCGAGTCAGCCCACCTGGGAGTGCTGTGAAGCGGGCAGCTGCTGAAGGTGCTGGGAGCATCCACACCCCTTCCCACTCTCGGCAGCCCTGCTGCCTCTGTCCTGTGCTGGGAAGGGAGAGGGAGAGACATGGCCAATGTCCCGTTCACTTGCACGGGCAGAGTCGGAGTGTGGCTGCCATGCCAGGCTGTGGGAGGGATGGAAGACACCCGGGGACCACTAGCCGTGGGGAGAAGTACAGTTCCACCCTTGCACCTCACCTGGGGCGGGTGGGCTGTGCCCCGGGCTGGGAGGCCATGCATGGCAGAGGGTCTCATGCCTTCCCAGGAAGGCTGTGTCCTGGCCTCCCCTGCTGCTCTTAGGCTACTTCATTGGCAGAGAGGGGGGGCTAGGGGTGGGCGGGGCTGCTGCGGGGAGGAATGGGGCTGGTATATTGCGGCCAGCACAGATTTAATACAATACAAAATAAGTTTCACATTCATATTGGTGCAGGGTCAGCTGTAGGCGGGGTGGGGAGATGCTGAAGTTGCTGTGCCTAAGGGCATGTAAGGTGTAAATCTGGCCCTGCTAGGACCCCCTCTTTCCCTGTGCTTTAGAGCCGGAGCTCCAGTCAGAGTCACGATTGCAAAGCACTATCTACATAGCTATTTTTAGACTGCTACTGCAAGCCCCACTAGCCCAAGACTTCTGACCCGGGTTGGGAGCTTTACTGCCACAGGCGGTGCAGACAAACCCAGAATGAAACCAAGCAGTGCTTAGAGGGGAGGAGGCAGTGGTGGTGTTTGTCCCATAGAGGTACCCTGCAAAGCTCAATTCTGGGTTCCCTACCTGGGACTGTGAGGAAGATGGGGGGCCAGTGGGGGTGCTGGGAAAGGCCCAGGGAAGCTCTCTAGACCCATCCCACTTCTCCCTGCCCCTGCCTGGCTCCTGCTCCAAGCTGTGGGCTCTGCTATCCAGGTGGCCACAAAACTCCGCTCTGGCTCCACCTCTGGGTTTGCCCTAGGCTTCCAGCAGCTCTGGCCCCTGCCTGGTCCCAGGCTGCAACCTCCCTGTGCTGACCTGCCTGACCCCCTGTCCAGGAGCTGTGAGCCAGAGGGGTGGAGATGCTCAGAGGCAGGTCAGTGTGGAAATGCTG